GGAAATGGTACACGGGGCAGAGTGTTTGCAGGCTCTCCAGCGGCAGTTGGAGGCTCTCCAACGCGGGCCGCACAGCGCCGATCTCCCGCACCAGCTCCCGGACGGAGTCCACGACAGCAGAGACGTCCACCCGGCCCTCCTCACGGGGAGGATGAGGAGGATGAAGGAAGATGGAGGAGGAGGAGGACGAGGAAGATGAAAGAAAGGAGGGGGGGCGAGGAAGATTAAATTGCCCTGCAACGTACCCAGCTCATACCCACGAAACGACCAAGAATTGGCCCGTAACACTTTGGCAGATGGCAACACAGGATCTGCTGGCGGTTGCGCAAGCTATACGGGAAGCGCGCGCATTGCGCGACTCACCGCATAGCTGAAGGGACCAGGTGCGAGGCCCCAAAATCGGAGATGAAATGGGTGGGGGGACGAAGGGCAACAAAAAACAAAAGGGGGGCCGAAACGTCAACGCGACAGCAGCGGTGAGACGGTGAAATATGAAAAAAATACATTATTATTGTATATATATATATATATATACATAACAAGACTACAGTGGCGCTTTGCGCCATGCACCTTGGTCCTTGAAGTTTGGTATGCAGGCGGAATAGCAGAAAGGTCAAGCCGACAATTTAGCGATAACTCCTTGTTGCCTTTTTCGGCATTGCCGCTATGATAATGCTATGATTCATCCTTCCTTCATGCTTCTTTTTCCCCATTTTCGCCATACCCCGCGCATTCTCCCCATCCTCCTCAGTTCTGTTTTGCGGAGGCTCCTCCTTGGAGAGCCTCTGGGGGCCTCGCAAAAGTTGTTTCAGGCTTTCTTAGGCCTTCTGGAGGCCTCCTGGGCGTATTCTGAGGACCTGTGGGGGCTTCCTCGGGCCACCCTGCCTCCAACCGCGGTCTCCCTGAACGACCGGGTCACGATTTGGAATGCTTCGGAGGGTGTCTTGGGGCCATCTTGGGCCGCCATGGGGCTCTCTGAGGGCCATCTTGGACCCATGTTGTCCCGTTCTGGGGCTCTCTTGGGCTGCCTGGAAGCTCCTTCGGGTGGTTATGGGGCGATTTGGGAGCTTCCCAAGCGGCTTCGGACGCCCAGAAGACCGCCGTCTTGGAGCGTCGGGAAGCCGAAAAGAGGAGAACCCCAAAATTCACCAAAAACCAACAGAAAATCAATGATTTGTGCTTCTTGGGGCCTTCTTGGTAGTACTCTTGGAGGCCTCTTTGGGGCCGTCCTGGAGGCCTGTTAGGCCATCTTAAGGTCACGTCCGTCACTCTTGGGGCGCTCTTGTGCTGTCGTGGGGGTCTCTGGGACGTTTCCGACGAACCCCCCTACACCCTGCGAGGCCCGGGGGGCCGCTTCGATTCGAGGCCCGGCTGGAGGGCCCCAAAGCCCCAAATCCCAGGAGTCCGGTTTTTGTTTGGGGGGGGTCCCCCCGCCCGGACTTATAAAAATCCGCCGGCCCTGTCGGCGTGTGTGCGGGGCTTTTCCGTTCGAGTCGTCGTCTCCGTCGTCTCTGTTCCCCCCTTCCAGGGCTCTCCTCCAAGCGCGCTATCCACAGCGAAATTAAACAACGTCGTAGTGGAGTCGAAGGGAAGCCCCTTCCCTTTGATCCCTTCCCCGCAGGGAGGGGGGGGGGAGGGGGGGGGAAGGAAGGGGGGGGGGCGGGGCAGATACGACGCCCGCCGGGGCGCACTTTCTTCGAGCGGGCACGCACGGGATGCACTTCCTCCTCCTCCTCCTCCTTCTGGTCCTCCTCCTTCTCGTTTTCCTTTTCCTCCTCCTCCTCCTCCTCCTCCTCCTCCTCCTCCTCCTGCTCCTCTCCTCCTTCTCCTCCTCCTCCTCCGCCTCCTCCTCCTCCTCCTCCTCCTCCCGCAGAGGCGTCCGGGGAGCGGGCCCCGAGTCAAAATACCACCCCCTCTGGGGCGCATTTTCCTCGAGCGGGCACGCCCGAGATGCACTTCTTCCTCTTCCGGGAGCACGTCCCAAGTCAGAATATCACATCCCGGGCGCACTTTCTTCGAGCGGGCACACAAAGGATGCACTTCCTCTTCTCTCCTCCTCCTCCTCCTCCTCCTCCTTCCTCTCCTCCTCCTCCTCCTCCTCCTCCTCCTCCTCCTCCTCATCCTCCGCTTCCTCCCCCCGCTCCTAGCCCTTTCGATCAGGGTCGGCGGCACCGGCCGTCAGGCCTCTCCAATATAGGAGGAAGAATAAAACAGAGGGTGGCGATCAATACCCACGGGCGCGCTGGACAAGCAGCGCGGCCCTCGTCATGTTCGCTCCGGCGATCCAAACGATCAGTTGTCTACAAGTAATGCAAAAGGCGAGCCAGGCCGAGCTCGCCCACCAGGTTCCCTGTTTCCTTCCCGCACCGTGCAGAACGGGATCTATATGGCCGCAGGCGCGCCGCCAGGTCTCCGGGGCCTGCTCCGCAGGCGCGCGCCGCTCCGCTGGAGCCCACAGCCGGCCTCGAAAGCGGCGACAGCTTCGCAAAGAGCAACCCTGCAGGAATGGCGAGGTCGAACCTAGGTTCAAACGGCAAAACGATCCGCTGGACTCCCCACCAGCCCTGAAAAGTGGCGACAGTCCAGTGGAGAACAAATCTGGAGGGACGGCGAAGTGTAATTTACGTCCGGTCCGCGCGGGCCGTCGCTCCATTGGACCCTGGCGTCATTTCAATGAACCCACGCACGCCCCATCGAAAGTGGCGACAGGTTCGTACATCGCAGCTCTCAAGGAATTGCGAGGTCTAGACTGAATTTGCGTAGGACGTCAGTATGTTGGACTATATATATATATATATATGTATATATATGTGTGTGTATATATATATATATATGCAGGGCCCCTCAGCAGCCTTCGAAGGTAGGGAGCGTTTCGCGGTTCGCAGCATCCCCCCGGATGTGAGGTCTAAACTTGCGCAAGACGTCGCTACACTGGACCCTCAACTTCACAGGTACTAACTCCAGTGATGGGTGAGGGCGAACTTGAATCAGCGCAGGCCGTCACCACGCCAGACCCCCAAGCAGCCCTCGAAAGTGGCGACGATTTCGCAAATCGCCGCCCCCCAAGGATGACGAGTTCTAATCTGAACCTGCATAGGCCGTCACTTTGCTGGACTGTGCTGAACCCCCAGCAGCGCTCGAAAGTGGCGAAAAGTGTTGCAGTTCGCAGGGCCCCCAGAGATGGTGAGCTCGAATGTGAATCTGCATAGATCGTCACTATGCTGGACCCCCCAGCAGACCTTAAAACTGGCGACAATCATCCAAATCGCAGCCCCCCCCCGGGATGGTGAGGGCGAGTCTGAATCTGCGTAGGCCGTCACTGCGCCAGACCCCCAAGCGGCCCACGAAAGTGGCGACGGTTTCGCATATCGCAGCCTCCCGAGGGATGGTGAGGTCGAATATGAACCTGCGCAGGCCACCACTATGCTGGAACGACAGCTTCGCATTCCGCATCCGCGAACGGTTTGCTCTCCGCGAAAAGGGTTGGCTTCCCAGGAAGAGTGATGGTTCTCCGGAAGGACTTCTGGATCCGCGTGGGGTTCTGAAGATTATAAACGAAAGGCTGCTTCCCCCGATGAGAGCCTATCAAAGATCCTCCGACTGCTGCCGGCCTCCAGCTTCGCAAACAGAAATGCGCTTCCATCAAGGCGGCTCATTGGCTTCCGCATCGCTCTAGCCTCGCTTGTCCTGGGAACCATCTCTTTGCGGAGTTAAGTTTAAAAGTGCGAGGCCAGCAAAAAGTAGTAGTAGCAGTGGAAGTAATAGTTGTGGTAGTTGCAGTAGTAGTCGCAATAATCGTAGTAGTCGTAGTAGTAGTAGTAGTAGTAGTAGTAGTAGTAGTAGTAGTAGTAGTAGTAGTAGAAGTATATGTAAATGTAGATGTAAATGTAGATGTAGTGATAGCCGCACTAGTAGTGGTAGTGGTAGTAGTAGTAGTAGTAGTAGTAGTAGTAGGAGTAGTAGTAGTTGTAGTACTAGTAGTAGTAGTAGTAGTAGTAGTAGTAGTAGTAGTAGTAGTAGTAGTAGTAGTAGAAGTCGTAGTAGTACTAGTAGATTCTAGTATGTGATGGTTGATGGTAGTACATGGTAGAAGTAGTAGTCGCAGTAACCTTCGTAGTAGTCGTCCTAGCAGTAGTAGTAGTAGTAGTAGTAGTAGTAGTAGTAGTAGTAGTAGTAGTAATAGTAGTTGTTGTAATATTAGTAGTAGTAGTAGTCGTCGTCGTAGTAGTAGTCGTAGTAGTAGTAATAGTCAAAAAAAGAAAGTAGTGGTAGTAGTAGTAGTAGTAGTAGTAGTAGTAGTAGTAGCAGTAGTAGTAGCAGCAGATAGTAGTAGTAGTAGTAGTAGTAGTAGTAGTAGTAGTAGTAGTCGTAGTAGTCGTAGTAGTCGTAGTAGTAGTAGTAGTAGTAGTAGTAGTAGTAGTAGTAGTAGAGTAGTAGTAGTAGTAGTAGTAGTAGTAGTAGTAGTAGTAGTAGTAGTAGTAGTAGTAGTAGTGGTAGTAGTAGTAGTAGTAGTAGTAGTAATAATAGCAGAAGTAGTAATAGTAGTAGGTGGTGGTAGATGGTAGCAGTAGTAGTACCGCCTCGCTACACGGCAGGCGGGGGGTTGGCCGAGCCGACCCAACCCCCTACCTGAAGGACAGTCCAGTCCAGCTCAGGGCGCCAGGGGCACTCTAGAGCAGAGCCTCGCGGGCCCCGAACCCTTGTCGGAGCCCCGCAGAAGCCAAAGGGCCCCAACCCACTAAGTTGGGGCCTCCCCAAGCCTGCAGAAGCCTACACAAAGTACGAGCCTCTGCACCTGCAAGAAAAAGAAGAGGGGCGCCTCCAACCAACCCTCTTAGTCGGAGGCATCCCCTTCGAGCTCGTCGGGGTCTCCCTCGCACCTCCGGGCAGCACGCTGCCTGGCCGACCAGGAAAGGAAGTCGGCCTCCTGCTCTGGCCCGACCCCAAAACGCAACAGCGCTCGCGAGCGGGGCAAGCGTTGAGCTGGGCCCTGCTGCCCGCTACCCGTGGCCCTGCTGGCCTCGGGGGCGGCGGGGGGCGAAAGCCTCTGGCTGAATTTCCTTTGCCAGGCCTCAGAGAGAAAAAGCTGTTCCCCGAGGCGCCATGCTCCTCGGCCGCCCTTCGCGCTAGGGAACAGCCCTCTGCGAATCCGATCAGTCTGTGGCTCACGTCCTGCCCCCGTGCCGCGCGGCCTCAGGATGCCCTGCGTGCGCTGGTGGGCATAGGCGTAGCACTTCACGCAGTGGACCATGGTGGTGCCGTCCGTGCCAGGCCCCGTGACGGCCCGCTCGACGATGGCGTGGCCTCCGATCGACCAAGGCTGCCGAGGTCGTCGGGCTGCAGGTGGCTCGTCGCCCTCCGCCGAGGCCCGCGCAGCTGCTAGGGCCACCACCGCCGCGCCAGCCGCCACCCAGGAGGGCTCGGCAGCGTGGCCCCCGCTGGCCTCAGGCTCCTCGTCGCCCGCCTCGGGCTCCGAGAACTCCAGGATGACGTCGCTGGCGTGATCGATCTGCTTCCGATCCGCCATGCGCGCGTGGAGCTTACCCGTGAAGATCATCGCCTGCCTTGCGATGAGGTCGAGGCCGTAGGCAACGTCCAGCTGGTCGTCTGTCAGCGCCAGCTTCGAACCCTCCTTCGCAGCCTCGTCAGCGAGCCTGTTGCCTGCACGCTGCCACCAGGTCGTGCGGTCTGCCTCAACGTCGGCAGCGGTAGCGTGGGCCAGTACCTTGGTGACCGTGTAGCTGCGTGAGCCGTCGAAGGAGGCGTAGAACGCGTTCCACATGTGGGCCCTCGGCGACCCAGGGCGGCATGCCCATGCTGCTCCCCTCAGGGCGCAGTCCACCGCCCCTGTGCAGTCCGTCTGGAAGTCGACGTGGCCCTCGCAGAGGAAGGCCGCCATGTGGCATGCGTAGTCCTCGCCGTCCCGCGCTTCCTGCCGCGGCGCCATGGAGAGGGGCACCCATCCCCATGCTGCAGCAACCAGGCGCCCATGTCTGTCGCACTGCACGAGCGACCAGCCCGCGCGCTGCAGTTCTGGCCACCGCGTGCCGACCGCGCTGCCGTCGGTGAAGATGAGGCCGGTGAGGTACCCCGAGGCTGGGCGCCGATACCAGCGAACTGGATCCCCATCTGGGTCGCGCCTCGGGATCACATGGTCGAGCGACGGGAAGAGGCACCTGCCAAACATCTCGCCGCAGTTGCCTCCTGCTGCCCGTGCCACCTCCGCGTGCCGAAGGAGCTCGGGCGAGGCCTCGTCCTTACGAAAGGCCGCATGACCGTCGCAGCCGCACAGCCTGTGCCAGAGCGTGCAAGGAGCGCCCCTGCACATGAGGCAGTCCCACTCGGAGGCCATGCCTCTCTTGTAGAGCCGCGTCTGGGAGAGCACCGTGCCTGAGATGACCGAGTGGAGGGCCGCTCGCTGGTGTTGCTGCCAGCCGAGCGACTCCTTGGTCCTGCCCAGCCGCTGCAGCGAACCCCAGTACAACTCCGAGCTCTGATGGGAGTAGAGCCTGAAGGTGGCGTCGCGGTCGGACCACCTCTTGGCCGCTCCCTCTGCCAGCTCCATGCTGAAGGACGGCGAGACAAAGGGGAGAGGTCGACCTCCAACCCCTGGTCAGTGGTGACGTACCTGCCGCCCTCGATGGACCAGCCGAGCCTGCTGATGGTGAGGAAAAAGGCTGCCACGGGGTCCCTGCAGGTTGCCCGCGGCCGCTTCGCCGTCGCGAACCGCTGCTTGGCCATCTCCAGCAGCGCGTTGAGGGCGAACGGAGTGGGGTAGCCCAGCCAGGGCGCCATGCCGAACTGCAGCACGACCTGGCCTGCGTTCACCACCGCGGGGTCCCTCTCGATGCCTTTAGGGTAGCACCTCAGCCGCAGGCCGACGGATGCACCCGGCGCAAATGGCCCCTCGCCACGCGCTGCAGCAACCCGTAGCCCGTGTAGGACCGAGGGGGCGAGGCCAGTCGTGGCCGAGCCCCAGGTGGCGGCTGCCGTGGGGCCGCCCCTCTGCACCGTGGCGACCTTGGCGCCAGCCGTCCTCAGTACCTGCAGCCGCCGAGACCTTGCCAGCGCATCCTCGACGCGCTGCGCCCCGAGGGCGGTGCGCCTCCAGCGCCCGTCGTGCACGTCGTTGCCTAGCAGCCTGCCACGCTGCGCCCTGCCGTCCTCGGCGGGCCACTCCGACTCCAGCTGCTTCGCAACCTCCGCGTCGGGTGCGAGGTAGCATAGCTTCCCGAAATAGACGGGCACCCGCTTCTCGTCGAAGCAGCCCAACAGCATGCGCGTGGCGGGCCCTAGCACTGCCTTCACCATGCCCGTGGCGCCAACGGTCTGGAGCGCGAAGTCGTCGACGACGCTGCCCAGCCGCACGCTGGGGTAGAAGGCCGCAACCTGTTTTAAATATCTGAAAAGGAGAAGCTTGGCGATCCCCGTCGCGCAGGAGCAGCCTGCAAGCACCGTGCCCGTAGCTCGAAAGGGCGAGCTGCAGGCCCCGTCAACCGCGATGACCCTGTAGCCTGAGTGCGTGACGCAGCAAGCCCTGGGGAGCTTGATGGGGAAGCCCGTGGCTTGCGCCTCCACCAAGAGCTCCTGGTGGCTGATGTTCTCGTAGAACTTCCGCAGGTCGCCCAGGGCCGCGCCCGTGCTGAGGCCTGTCTCATAGTCCAGGGCCGTGAGGGTCTGGTGTACCCAGCCAGCCCTCTCACACGTGTTGAGCTCCCCGCCAATGTACCAGGCCTCGCGGTGCTGCGCCTCCCATTGCCTGACGATGGGCCCGCGCATGGCCGACCAGAAACGAACCTGAAGGCAGGTGAGCGCAATAGGCCTCGTGCCACCGTCAGCCTTGGCGCGGAAGACGATGACCGAGAGCCAGTCCAAGTAGGCCTCGGGCGAGTCCTCCCAGCTGGCCAGCACCTCGAGGAGCCTGGCCAGGAAGGACTCGTCCAGGAGGGAGCAGCTGTCTCGGGTGGAGTTGGTCCCACCCCAGGCCAGCCCACCTCCCGTACCGCTTGAGCAGGTACTTGAGGCTGCCCACTTCGAGGTTCGGCAGCGGCTCGGTCACCTCCCAGCTGGCCGCTTCCCCAAGTCCTCCTCGGCGCCGAGGATCCAGCCAAAGCGGGAGCCACTCCTTGAGGCAATGCTGCACTGCCTCGTCGCCGTTGACGGGCAGCACGTCGCCCTCGCCCTCGTCCGCCGTGACGAGGGTCGCCTTGGCCAGCGGCTCGGGCCTGGAGAAGCGATGGGCCAGCTCCCCCCCCCCCCCCGCCTGTAGCCGCGCCTTTGGCCCAGGCCTGCCACTGCTTCCTGGCGGCTGCGGCGTCGCTGCGCTGGCTGGCCTGCCGCTGGACCCTGGCGTGCTCGATGGGCCTCCTCCTCAAGGCCGCGTCGCTAGAGGTAGCCGCAGCGCCCAGCCCACCTCTGGGCACAGGGGCCATGCTGCCGTCGTAGTCGGCCAGGCGCGTCGCAGCCAGACGACTGCGCAGGCTGGCCAAGCCCTGTAGGTCCTTCCCTCGCGCCACCAGCAAGGCCGCGCGCTGCAACAGGCTGACCAGCCCACCCCAGGCGTGGGTCTCATTCGAGCTGAGCTGGGCCCAACGGCGGCGGCTGGCGTCGGCAATCGAAACGTTGGCGAAGCGCACTCCGTCCGCCCTGCCAGCGAACTTCTGAGCCTCGTCGCCGCGCAGGTCGTAGAGCGGGAGAAGGTGGCCCTCAGCGTGCCGAAGCCACTCCTGCATGGCCGCCCGCGGGCTAGGGGGGACCGCGCCTTCCTCCCAGGTCCAGGCAGGCAGCGGGGCCCATGGAAAGCAGCCGATGGCCCGATCGAACGGCAGCCGAGCCGTGCGGTGTAGCTGCTGCACCGTGGCGTCTGCATGCAGCCCTCGCACTTCCAACGGGACGGGGCTGCGCGGCCCGATGGGGGCCTCGACCACGGGCCCGTGGCTGAACACGAACTGCTGGAGCTCGTTGGAGATGATCGCGAAGCCGACCTCGTTGAGCGCCCCCGCCCTGCAGGTCGCTGTTTCTGTATGTAGCGCGAGTCCGCCAGCCGGCGCCGCCCGCGCCGCGACCTGGAGGGGGTCTATGTTGAAGCCGCCAGCTAGAATCCACGGCCGCGCCGCCACCCTGAGCTGCGACGCCGCGTCCCATAGGATGTCTGCGTTGGCCTCACTCATGCCCTCCCCGTCGCGGAGGTAGACAGACATGAGATCGATGGCGAGCCCGTCGCCTACGTTGACCACCCGTCTGAGCACGCGGTGGGGCTGCTTGAACTTGGCGTCGAGCGTGGCAACCGCAAACCGCTGCCGAACACCGATGCCCACCCCGCCTGAGACGGACTGAGGCGCGTCACCCGTGCTGAGCCCCGCAGCAAGGCCGAAGTCGAAACCACGCCTCCGATGCCAACGCTGGACTGTCTCTCTGCCGAATTCACGCACCCGCGTCTCCTGCACGAATGTGATGTCTGCTACTGGCCGCCTCGTCGGCCCTGCAACTTCGAGACTGTGCAGGCCGTCCAGCCAGTCGAGGAAGTCCCGATAGCCCTTCTCGGTGTTCGCATTGACAGAGTAGAGCGACAGGCTATCAAACCCGAGGCCGCTTGAACTGGGCCCCGATGATGTCGCTGAAGCGCTTGCGGCGCTGCTCATAGCTTTCGCCGTCCTGGGGCTTCCTCCATGAGACTGTCGACCAGCTCGTCTGGGACGGGGACAGACTCACCTCCTGGCTCAGCACTGCCAGGGACACCCTCGTGTCTGTCCCCGCCGCCGCAGCCAGCAGCGCCAGCAGCAGGTGCAGCGTCGCCGGCTGCTTCCAGAGTCTCCTGTTCCTTCTGGATGACGTCCTGCAACTGGATGAGTCCGTGAAGTACTGCCTGGTTCTCCACTGCCGTAGCCTTGAACTGCTCGAGGACCTTGGCCAAGCCCCTGAGCCCGTCGCCGAGGACGCCAGCGGCGTGGCGGGACTCGATCTCGGCGTCGGCCGCCTGCAGCTTGCCCTTGAGCTCTGCGACCGAGTCTTTGGCCTCGCAGATCCGCAGGTCGAGCTTGGCACGCTGGTCCTCGAGCTCTGCGACCTTGGCGAGTGCCTTCTGGTGCTGGCCCTCGAGCTTCCTGCGCTGCCCCTCCAGGGCTGGGAGGCTCTTGGGCTTGGGCGGCTCGGAGTACTTGGCCTCCACAGCCTTGACGCAGCTCGTGGCCTGCTCGCCTCCTCCCAGCTTCTGGAGCTCCTCCTTGAGGTCACTGAGGGCGGTGAGCTTGGCCTTGGCGCTGTCTGCCTTGAGCGCCCCGACCTGCTGCCGAAGGGCGGCCAGCTCGCTGTCCTGGCGCTGACGCTTGTCGTGCCCCCACGGGGCCAGCTTCTGCCGCGCCCAGACGCCACGGGGCTGCTGGTGGCTACCCGGCCTGGGCCCGCCCTTGGTCGCCTCCTTGTGAGCCGTCCTGGCGGCGTCCTCGACCTTGGTGGAGCACGGCCTGTCGCACTCTCTGCACCTGAGCCTGCTGGCCCAGTTGGATGCGCAGCCGCAGGAGCAAAGCCACAGCGGTGACTTGGGCCCGCGGAGCACAACCCCTGCTCCCTCGGGTCCGCCGCGCCCATGGCTGGCCAT